AGCATTGTGAGCAGTTTTCCAAATAAGCCTCAAAGTGTGGAAATCACTTTTTCACCTACAGTAAGTTTTAAAGTCTAGTAGTCTGCAGTCTGAAAGTAATTATGCAGATGGTCTAGATGTGATATGATGGTCCTGGGATAGTGTGGTGACCTTCTGTCTACCAGGATGTGTTCTGTCCTTGATAGAGCTGGTTTCTGGGTTCTTCTGGACCAGTCTAGTGATGAAAATTTCATTCTTCAGGCAACTTTTCTCAAGAGACAGGCCACAGTCAATCATACTGGTGGGAACCAGATGCTCTTCATTGTGCAAGCAGGGAACTGTCATATCTTTCACTCTCCTTCTGTTAATAAAATTATCGAATGGCTGTTTAAACAGAGTTTTGATCCAATCATTTTAACTCAACTTAAAATCCGTAACAGTGAACATGGGGTTATTTTTCTGAAATCACGTGACTTGAGGTCAGCATTTTGCTAGCCAAAAGAACAACACTGCTCAAATAATCAACAAACCTAACTGCTCGGTATAAAATTTAAATAGCTTTAAATATGTGCCTAATGAGCTATTCATGTAAGGCCATTGCATTTGTATTGTGCATCAGGATAATCTGTACCTCATGGGTTCTATTGCTACTAATGTAAAACACAATGTCGCCTTTGTTAACTATACAATGTTAAAAACTCATCCTCAGAAAAAGGTTAATTAACCAAAATTAAAGGTCTAGATCTTAATGGATCCACATTCACGGGCTAGTGGTTTCAAGGCAGATATGGTCAAGTCACAGAGCAACATGGAGCCCCCTGGAAACCAGGGGCAGTTGAGGCAGTGTGAACATGGCATGCTGGTGTGGTTTACACCATAGAGATCTTGTGTTTACCATGATATACATTGACGGTTTGTTGGGGGGGTGGGGTGGGGTGGGGGACAGTAAAATGATACAAAACATTTGCAATTGGTTAGGAGAAAAGATGGTTAAACCTGGAGAAGCTCATATTTATGATACCTAAGGAGCTTAAGATTCTGTATGACTCACTCTTGTGTGACTGCGCTGCGAGGAGGTGGGAGTGAAATGACATCACTCTGTTCTCTCAAAGTGCCTTGAAGCAGGACCCCCCGCCCACACACACACACCCCCACAAACTGCGTATCAGCTGAAAATAAAACAGAACATCTTTTTCGGGCTGTCCTGAGGAAACATTTTTTATATGAAAATGCAGCAGAAGTGGAAGCACATGCAGCCAATAAGGTTGCTGATATCGGCTAAGGTATGACAGGATTTAAATAGGTGGACAAAGACTTCTTGGTACTGGCTGTCCTTTGGCGACAGTCCTTTTTCTCAATTTCAGCCCTTTCCAACCCAGTGTGGGACAAGGTCCAACTCCTGGGATGCAGCGATAGCAGGGATAAAGGGCGGGTGATTAATCCGCAACTTTTTCCTTGCAATTCTAACGTGATTCAGGAGAGAACATTGAAAGGAGATTAGTGATGGAGTTGTTTCATTATTTTTACCTTTTTTATTCAGCCTGGGTATTCAAGGTATTCAAGTGGCTTTCCTCTCTCGATCTCTTAGCAAATCCTTTTCCTTCCTTTTGTATGTGATGATCTACGTCTTGTGCAAACATTATGCGTGATGTTAGGATGCTATTCACCCCACCCTGTTCATTAATCCTGCTGCTTTAATCCGCTCTGATGTAAAGCTGTTATCTGCTGAGAAAACATATCTTTAGTGCAGTCTCCATTTGCAACAGTGAAGCAGGCAGTGAAAATGCGACTGAGAGAATACCCTCTGCTGAGCAAAGCAGGAGATTTTTAATTAAGGCCAGAGCTCTAGGAGATGTTAGAAGCCAAAGTGTTAAGCTTGAGGGAATTCTCATTTCCACTGCTCAGTTTGAGAGCCTTACAGTTTTTATTATAACTCACAAGTGCACGCAACACTAAGTAGTCAAGCAATTCTGAGTAAAATATCCAGAATCTAGTGATTTGCTCTGGATGATCAAATGTGAGCAATCCTTTAACTCTCTTGCAGCTGTCCAGATGGGAAAGCCCAGGGGTACTCCTTAGCCAGAAGATGAAGGAAGAAACAGTAACATATATGTAACATTAAAATGCCAAGAACTGGTTTGACTCAGCTGACAACCCCTAGACACCAAAAAGAATATTGCAGTTAATGTGCTGTGGCGATGTTTGACAGGATTCTAATTACGAAGCAAGCACTCTGCTCTGTTAGTAATAAGAAAGAAGGACATTCTGGAATTAAATTGTTGTAAAAGAATTAACAATATGATCATCCCGTCACAGCAATGATTATTAAGGGCAAAAATGTGGCATCTCCTCTTTGCATTTTTTGGTGATTGCAATTGATCATTTCAAGAGGGAACTATCCACATGCACCCCATCCGCATGGATTATGTGAAGTACAGGGCATTCAAAAATCAAACTCCATAAAAAAGATATCCCAATTACAAAAATACTTACACATCTTATTTCTGGATTAAAGCACTTAGGTAGAAAGGGTTAAAAAGCAAATGCGCACTAGCTATTGAAAACCAGAACAGTACAATTACTTGGCACAGCTGATAATACTAGGCAGATCAAGACAGAAACATTTGTCTATGCCTTTTATTCAGGTACAGTGTGACTGCTAAAATGTGACATCCAGTTCTTTGTCTGTGCCTTTTTGTTTTTGGCCTAGATTCATATACAAAAGGAACACATTCCTCCTGAAAGGGCAGACAGGGAGGCCTATGTGAAAGAAACAGAGATAATTAAATAAGACCCTTGATGTACCTTGGGGTTTTTCTGTTTAAACCCATTTCCTACCAAATGTACAGTATGTTGTCTTCACGTTTGTTTGTTCTTTTCAGTAAAAGGGCTTTGGAGAGCTTTATTAAGTTATTTTTTCCTTAAGAAATTTTACTCCAATTCCAGAACAAATTAAAAAAAACACTCCAGTTGTCCTATTTTTTTCATTTGGCTGAAGGAAAGACTCCTGCAAACAAATGCATTATAGTAAAATTGATCAATTTATACTAAATTAAGTTCTCAAACTGCTTTATGATAACACTTATGTGGAAAAAGTCAGATGATTGAGAAACGATAAAAGGATAAATATATTTTAAAACACCAACCACAAATACAGTATTTTTAAACATTAATTCAACTGCAATACAGCAAGATAACAAATTGTGCGGGATTATGAAAATATTTTCCTTAATATTAATCCAGCCTACTGTATAGTTACAAATCCTGCAAGTAATTAAATGACTGCTTTAACTCATTTCAATCAATAATGTGAAGAAATGCAATCATCCAGATCACATAATTACAAACAGAACTTCCTTACAAGTTATGTGAGTATGAAATATGTTTCTAATCTTTTGGGTTTGTTCTGTCCAACTCGGTTTCATGTAAAAAAAATATAGTTTAGACGCATAATGATCACATCCTGCTATTCACTTTGAACAGCATTGGACTGAAAGGACATGTTAATCTTGTTATACAGCATAAAGACTGTAAATTAACTTTACAAAGCGAAACATCTACCTGGCTGCAAAACCTAAACTTGCAGCTTTCACTGGAACTGATGCTGAAGTGGAGAATAAGACGTAAATTAAAGCCCAGCCTTAAATAAGGTCAGTGGACTTTTACTACTGATGTGATGAGGGAGGATAAGAGGTTTCTCATTCTTCTGTCTATGTACCAGCTGCTTGAGACAGGGACCAAGTACATGTATGAAGGACTTGCATAGCTAAAGTAATAATGTTGTGGCTTGTTTTATGTTTAATATAAATTAATATGTTATGTGTGGATGATGTGGATATCATGTGTGGATGGTGGCTCAGTGCTTGGGGTCCTGGGTTCAATTCCAGACCTGGGGTGGTATCTGTACAGAGTCTGTATGGAGTTTGTACTGGGTGTTCTTCAGTGTTCGCATGAGTTTCGCCTGGGTGCTCTGGTTTCCTCCCACAGCCATTCTGGTAGGTTAATTGACTTCTGGAAGCCCTGGTGTGAGTGTGCATGTCTTTGTTTGTGTCTGTCCTGTAGTGGACTGGTGTCCCATCTAGAGTGTTTCTACCTTGTGCCTGTTGCTTGCTGGGATATGCACCAGCTCCCCCATAACCATGTATAGGATAAAGTAATTCGAAAATGGATAGATGGATGTTATGTGTGGTTTCATAATATAGCATCCCTAAAAGGATATTACCACAATGGAACAAAGTGACAAAGGCTGCAGAAAAAAAGCTCCCTGTAGCTGAAACCGTGTTATTCACTAATTAATTTGGTTTAATAAATATCAGTAACTTCATTATTAATGATTATAATGACAAAGCTAATATTCCCCAGATTAGATGTATTCATTTTCCAAACTAACTAAAGGGATAGGTGATTAGGTTTCAATTAAACTGCTCATGTTCCCATGGCTTCCATTCTTTACTGGAGTTGTTGAAAACAACTATCAGATTACACAGTCAAATAAAGAACTCCTGAATGTAGGTCTCATACAAATATATGTGTGTATTTTATGGGTCATTACTAACCTCCTAAAATTTGTTTTTGCTTCAGTGAGGAACTACATTCAATCATTATTATAAATATTCTAGCTTTATTGTAAACTGTAAACTATTTGTAAAAGGAGAAAAATGTTTTAAACTCACAGACTTTGTTTAAAAAGCACATCAAAGCCCTACCCCTTCATGATAATGTGAAATGAGTATTAAATCTTGGACTCAAAGGCAATGTTAAAGTTGCCCCATGTTTTGATAAACAGAAATGTTACATTAAAGATTAATAAAAAATCTTAAAATGTTGGCTGTTGAATGTAATTGCTTTGTAAAGATACAGGCTATTATTGACCTTCTGGCTGTGTGTAATACAAATCTCAAATATTAATTTTAACCAGTAGTTGAATCACCAAATATATTATTTACACAAGGTCTTGATTGTATGTAATGGGGAGTGCGTAGTGTTCTATTATAAATTTACAATAATCCAGAGCTTGGGTTAGCTACGTTTTTTATTCAGATAAAGTGGTGTTACAGAATGGTTTCCAGCAGTAAATTCCATAGTGTTTGAATCTTTACAAGGTTTCAAGTATTCTTCCCAAGGCATTTAGAACAATACTGTCATGTAGTAAGATTCAAGTGCACGAGGAAGCCAATTTTCTACTAGTCCATGTTGACGATATAAGGCCGGGGACTGACAAGCAGAGAAAACCCCTTTCTTTTTTTTTCTATTTCTATTTCTATTTGGGTAGTTTCAACAGTCGTAGGATGTCAGGTTCGATGTCAATGGTTTTAAAGTTTTTGCTGTAGCGTTTGAAGGGTTCTCCTTCGGGTCCGATCAGAAACTTCTCGAAATTCCAGGAGATGTCTGTCCTGTTGATCGGGCTCCAGATGAGGAACCTGGGATCTTGGATGAAGGTAGTCGGGTCATCATCAGGGTATGGGAGTTTGTCTTTCAAATAGGCAAATACAGGGTGAGTGTCCTTCCCATTCACCTGACATTTCTCAAACATGGTGAAGTTGGGCTGGAACTCTCTTCCTGGCCGAACATGCTTCAGTGAGTTCAGGATTTCCTCATTGTGGCAGTTTTCCTGCCAAGAGGAAGGACACCTTGTGAACATTTCATTGTTCCATCTTATTAACCAGCCATCCATTTTCTAACCACTATATTAAATACAGGGCCCAGAGCCTATTCTGGCAAGCAACAGGCTGTTATTCATCACTTTAATTCAAATAATTATAAACAGGAATAGCTGGGACTTGTTGCATGATATTACATTTCTCACCATTTGGATTTCAAAAAGGACAATTAACTGAACTCCAAAACTCGGTGCAGTTTTGAACTAGCATTGTTTTTGCAGGAGTGAGGAAGAATTCCTGATGCTTTCCCTGTATGGACATTATTATTATGAATGATTAATGTTGATAATATTAACATTGACAACATTTTCAGACTGTTGTTCTTTCAAATCTGTTCTTACCATTTTTGACCACTTTCAAAGGTTTACAAATAGTTTATAAATATGGTTAAGAATCTTCACAAATTCCAATAACCTGTTTTTTAGTAAATGATTCTCTGATTAATTTATGGAAGAAAATTCGTATATTGCACATATTTAATAATAATAATAAATAAAAAAATTTTTACCATGGTGTATTTTATCTTTCTAAATGCTCAAATTGCACTTTTCACTTTTGATAGCACTTATACTGTTGAAATTGTATGAATCTTTATTTCATTATTAAATGTAAATGGTTTCACATGAGTTATGGCTATTACTTCCCTTTATTCATTCTTGAATTACATGATTAAATGACAAGAAACACACAAGGAAAACCCAGCACGCAATGCAAAACGATACATAAAAATAACCTTTGACATCTCCCAAAGAGATGTTGCCTGGATTACAGGCCCTTCTTCAATCCTTGTTTTTCTTATAGCAGATATATTCTTCCTGTTTTAAGAAAAATCATGCAGTTTCAGTATTTTCCGTTTCTCTCCAACTTTAAATACTGACCCCTGTAGAAGAACTATGTTCCCATACAGTTACAGTATGTGGAAACCTGTAATCAACAACATCTGGACCCTTAGTCACAGAATGTCTCACCAACCTGGTATCCAAACTGATTGCAGGGAAAGCCCAGCACCACCAGCCGATGAGGATATCTGCTCTGGAGGTCATTCAGATGGGTGTAATCCCTGGTGGTCGTTCCTCAGAGAGACGCCACATTCTCTATCAGGACCACCCTGCCTCTAAATACGTTGAAATCCACGATCTCTCCCTCCAGTGTCTTGGCGGTGAGGTCATAGAAGGTCTTTGCAATGTAAGCCATCCTTTCAGCTGGGCATGGAAACTCTAGAATGCTATTCTCTGAGAAAATCTGTCTTGTTTAAATCCTTCTGCAGGTGATCACCTGACTTCAGGTACACAAGGTCCTTGTTTGGTTTCAAATGACCATTGCAGAAATCCGATATGAAACCGGTCACTGAACCTCCTGAATGGCCAATAGAAGGAAGTGGGGTGACTTCAATTTCGCTAAATCATCACTACTTTGAAGTTAAAAAGAAATATTTCAAAACCACACCAACTCTAATGTTCTAGAATGTCCCATGAACATGTGTTGCTGGTCACAGTTTGGGGAATGATTTTGAGAACAATTTTCACAGCAAAGGTATAAAACAGAAACGTTGCAGGATTTCAACACAGATTTGTGCTGTGTTATTATTAGAGCTTTTCAAACAAAAAATCTGAAAACCTTTTTGAGCCTAAATGTTTACCATAATGTACTTTTAAGACATTAGTTGTAGCTGTTTGGTTTCAATCAAAGCAGTACTAATGAGGTTTTATTCATAGTTCTACATTATTTAAAGTTATCTTTACATTTCTGTATGAAGACACCACACTTTTTTTTGGCTAGTTTCTTTTAATAATACAATAAAAATCCCAGTATGTGTAAACACTTAATATCATTATTAAACTAAATATCAAAATAGCAACAACAAACTGTTTTATGGATATTTTACGTATGTCAGGAAGAAACTGCTCAGACCCTTTAACACAGGACATAAGACAGGACTCAATCATCATTAACTGTTTAAGGCACGTGTGGTAAAAGTTTGTGAGCTCTGTTTGTTTGTCAGTTTAACAGTTTGCAAAGCATTTCCCATTCCATACTATGCATTTCCTTCAGTTATATTACAGAAACACAAACAAATATATTTTGTGGTAGTGCAGGTGGGTCAGTTGGGTCAGGCTCACACCTGAATAAGGCTCCACGGCTGAAACATTGTGTTTTCTCTCTTCTTTTTTTCAGCATGGAATAAACCTATTACTTGTTCAAATATATTTTGAACTCTTTAAATCGTCAGGTGGAAAATAACTTGACTACACAAAACTAGGATGAACAAAGTTCTGAGAGTGAGATACAGCTTCTTTGTTACATTTATTACTGTAAATCACATACAGTAGATGTGTTATGGGAATGCAAGGGGATTTGGCAATTGTATGTGTGACTAACTGTAATTACTACAAAGCTAGCAAACCATCATAATTGGGCATGATTTTTGCCTTCTATTGGGTCCCACTGGGTTGGTTTCAAGATGATTATACAGTGCATTCAGAGGTGAATCTGCTGTTATACATTATTATGGAGGAGATAAATGGTGAATAATTTTTATACCACAAATGATTATACAGTGTACTCTGCATTCTCCGGTTCCTGACCTCATTTCTTTTTGTTCCAAGTGGTACAAAGCCATGAGTTTTTTTTTGTTCTTGTCGGCAAGATTAAAAGTCTTATTATACAGGTTAGCAGATAAAATCATTGATAAAATACATCACACAAAAATATATTTCTGACATCTCTGGATCTCTCCTTTAGATCAGGCACTTGCTTTGTACATCATATACCTTGGGCTGTGCAGTAATTCAATGACAGGTATCAGTTTCTTTGTTATAAAACATTCATTCTTTCAGAGAACTGTGCTGTTCTCCTCAGATGATGTGTTAAAAAATGCATGAGCACAGGGAACAGACTATATCCACAAAATACTTTCTACACCAAGGTGTCTCATATAATTACTCTCAAGGCTTTTTTTAGATGTTTATACATACCAGAATAAAGATGTTTAGAGCTGGCCAGAATCATGCAATGCAGATTGTGATTATTGGATACAGAAATTACAATGACTGTTTACTTCCAGCTGTTTCAAAAATGTGCTTGCTCAACAAACATTTAAATACGACTATTGCCACTAGCAGTGAAACACTGGCAAAAAATAGCATCATTTTAATATTGGGTCAGATTTTCTATTTTAAATGCTACTAGATTACGCCTCTTAAGGAAGAGGAAATGTTGCATAAAAGTTACATATAGAACAGTAAATAGCAACATTGAAGTACTGCACAGAAGTACTATAGAAGTACTGAAGGCACATTGTTTTTGGGGGAAGCAGCAGTATACTGTAACTCATATGAACAAGTAGGAAGCCCTATCGTTTTTTTCTCAGAGGCTTGTTAACCCATGATAATTGTAGCACATCCACAGCTGAGGTGACTTTTAAGAAGGGATGAAAGAAGCAATAACTTTTAAAGAACAGGAACTAAGACCAATTCCTGATCTTGACCCCTCTGATAGTGTGAAAATGAAAGCAGTACCGATTTCGAGGTTCATACTAGCAAAAGCACACTTGATTGTCTGTGATTTTGGTTTAAGTGATATTTGATGTATACAGTTTGAGCATCTATATCTATACACAGTACTCTACAAGCCCATAGTTTTTATCTTGTTTTTTGTGTTTTATTTCTTTTTGGTCATTGTGATGTTAGGCTGCCCATTTTCCATTGCAGTTTAGTGAAAAAAAAATTCAAAGATGGAATTGACTGGCTCTGTACTAAACAGAAGTCCACTATTAGCCCCATATCCTAGTGTTGAAGTCAGAGTATTCGAAGTTCTCTTTAAATCAGCAGCACCTGAAGAGCTGGGTGTAGCTGATAGACTCCAGCTCAAGTTAAGAAAGTAACCAGTTGGTTTAGCCTTTTAAGAGCAGAATTGGAATGAAACACACACCAGCCCTCCAGGACCAGGACAACCATACATACTTCTGAAATTTGTAAACTGAAGGTGGAGGCAAAGATAATAGAGTGAAAACAGAGTAATAATACTTAAAACAAACTTTAATATAGTACTGTACCTGTCTTTGGCAGACATGTCTGTCAGTAATATAGTTGTAAAGCACAAACTGTATAAAGTATGCTGTATAAAGTTTTGAACAGCAATGACCTCTGGTGGTCAAAAATATCAGAGTACATTTATACAACTCTCTTTGCAAAGTTTCCTTTTGGATCTCCGTCTTGGCTCTTGAAAAGGTATCGAGTCCCTGGTTCATAAAAACTGCATCAAGTTTATCAGAACTATACAGCTCTTACTATTCCTCTAACAGAAATTTGATAAAAATGCAATGACAGTTCACATGGTCCAGGTTTCAGTGGAGAATGTAAATAGTAAATGTTCTAAATAAAAAGCACCACACAAGGTGCAAAGTCCAAAACTAACTTCTTTGCATCAAATTATTTGAAGGTTATTAAATAATGCCTTAAATAATACAAGCAAATAATTAATACAATCATATAACCTGACAACTGGAGGAATGCGACAACTTACTCATTTATATTTAATTAATGCTTATGTTGCAACAGCAAACAAAAATACCGTATATAAAATTAACTAGGATGACTGAAAGAGGTCTGATATAACATTTCAGCTTCAGGTATGTTAATATTATAATGCAAAGCTAGACTCTAGCTGAAATTGACACTTATTAGAATTACCGTTTAGAAGCCATGATTGAACTTGTATTTAAATGCATAGAATTTACTGAATTTGTATTTAGATTTTAGTGCACTGGTACTACAAACTGGTAAATAAGGATTACCACACCACATGAACATGCATGATCATTCATCAATAATGGCCTCGAGGTCCAGTACAGTGAGGGGGTTTGAGGTGTTGCAGCACAGTTCCAGGGAATAGGTCCTGCCATGGGAATCTTTTGAAGTTTCAGGTTATACTTCATCACATAACTGAGTAGGCTGAATTGGCTATGAGAAATTACCTTATGGCTGTGTGCTCTTAGATCAGTCTAAATCCTGTGCTTTCAAGAAAGGCTCCATCCTTCTGTAGAAAATGATACTTCCCAGCACCAGTTTAAGAGCAGCTTTTGGAAAATGGATAAGTGTATGAATATGTGATAGGAACTCCATTTGTCTGAAGAGTGATTAATTTCTCTTACATGTCATCAAAACAAAAACAGAAGATGGAGACTAATTATAGGGACACACTTATAAAGGTAAATATACACATATTGATTACAAAGGGCAGGCCACCATACCAATATCCCTCAGTGTTCAATTCAACGGATTTTGGAGGCTGTACAAGGTAAGGTCTGGACAAAACTAGGGTAGGAGACACCTAACAAAAATCAGGTTGCTGTAGGTGGTGTATTTGTACCAGTAGGTGGCACTCTTCCCTCTATTTAAAAATTCCAAAACCAATGCACCTGTTTGGTCACAGGGGATACTGTGTTATATGAGGTCCTATCCTTCAGATGAAACAGTAATCCAAGATCTTGACTACATAGCTGTGCTAAGGAGACTAATTAGAAGAGCAGTCATTCTTCAGTGGCTTACCTTGGGCATACCTTTATTTAACCCTTAATTCATCTAGTCAAGTATTTCCTCAGTTTTCCACATGATGTACTGTATAGTGAGGTTGCTGGCACACAACAGCTGCTGTTGGTCACTTAGGTAGGTGTTGCACTTCTGTTATAGATGAAGAGGGTTCCCTTCCATATTTAAGGGCTTTGGGATAACAATGTGGTATATCAATGCAAGGTATTATTGTTGACATAACAAACACATTTTGTAACTTCAATTCATCTTAAACAACTACATATACATATTACTATGTCAGTTGTAAAGTGACCAATGAAGTTCTCAACTAATTTCTCAAAACATGGACAACAAGATTAATTTAGCTGTCCTCAATTCATCAAAGCAGGGGTTCATAACTGGTTAAGGCTTCAGTCCACCATGCTCTCACTGCATTCACAATCATGACAGACGTTCATGCATTGTCCACAACCACAGAACCTGAATGGCCATTTAGTAGTGTACTGTATGAGGGATTCATTATGCCAACGATAGCCCAATTAGTCATATTTCATGTTCTTTAATTGTAAGAATTTCACAGTCTTCAACATGTCCTTTACAGACTGATGAATAAGTAAACCTGTATAATATGCTCAAATATATTTTCTGTTGCTGTATGTAGTCCACATGTGATTTTTTACCCTTTTCCTTTTTCACAATACACACAACAAATTGGTTACATACAAATTCTTTACAATAAAGCAATGTTGTTTGTTTAGATTTGTTCTAAATGTTGCAAAACAGACACCTTTTGAACATAACCATAGTGAAATATTTATTTGGATGTGTATATTTTTAAATTGCGGCAAATAATGCATCTATGAAGATTATATCATAATCTCAAATGCATTTTTATATTTTCACAAATACCAAGATAAAATCCAACAGTATTTATAAACTGAGCACTTTTATCAGAAATGAGCTGTAAGAACACAGAAATACATTTTCTACAGTATAACCAGGGTTTCCATTCAACAATACACACTCTTATATAGATGGAATTAATCTAATAATAATCAATTCTTTACTAGCATAAAATACTAGGATGAACTGGTTCAAAAAGAGAATTTTTTGGCCTTCGTGTCAGATGTCAAAGTTATAGTTATATAGGTAAATGCACCCTTTATATCCATCAGAAATGAATGAAAAAAAAATCACAAAACATGATTCTAGGTGCTGCAATTTTGTGATACTGTGAAAAGAATACTTTAGAAAATGTCTGTCTTATAGGAGGCTACAACAAGAATGTAATGGCATCCCTCACATGTGCCAAGATTAAATATGATCATTTAAAAAAAGTGAATATTTTGAACTTTTGGACCCAAAAATGTTTTGAAATCTAAATATTTATTCAATGTTTTATAAATAAGACACAGCTAATAAAATAAGTATGCAACAATGAATACATATACAATTTCACCTTTTTACATCCATACAATTTCCAGAAGTATTTCTGCTAGAAACATTACAAATTTTTAGAAAATGTTGCAAATTGTGTGGTAATAATAGTTTATTTCAAGCAAACACCAAAATAAAGGATTGTGTAGCCTCCCCCCACGTTTAACTGCCTTGAGATAAAAGAACGTAATTTCCTTTGAAATCTTCAATGCTGTTAACTGATTCAGAAGTTACTTTTACATGCAGTTTTATTTAGGGTAATTTCAGTATTTCTTAACACTATCCATTGAACTGATTGTTCCACTGCCGACACCCATGATTACAATGGAGAATTGAGCTTTAGCTCAGTTGTCCAAAGGGTAATATACTTAGATAACATTTTAAACAGATTTACAGTGGCATGAACAGACACCTCATAAGATGGCTTTCATTGTGAACAAAACATATTCAGAAGACATAAATTGGAAAAGGACACAGAGTTAATGCTATCAGCTAGTCCACTGAATCATAGAACACTTTAACACAGTTAAGATCTTAAACAGTGAAACTGATTCCAATACAAAGGAATAGATAGACAAAACAGAAGGCTGGAGTTATGATAAAACAGGAGGAGGGTACGGTATGCTTCTCCAGAAGGACATTTGAAGCAGTCGTCCCTTCATTTCAAAGGTCTTAGAAAATCTGATCTTTGCAAAATTTCCATGTTCTTGGAAGTTAGTAAAAAAAGACAAAAATCAACTATAAAGTTACTTCATACATTTCACTTGCATTCTGACACTTCAATCCATGCATCCAATACAGAGCTGGTGGAGAGCCGTTGTCCATTCTACCAAGCAATGGACACAAGGCAGGATACAACCTGGATGGGATGCCAGTCCATCTCAGGGCACACACAGTCATGAACACACATATACAGTACTCACACCAAGGCCATTTTTCCCAGAAGCCAATTAATTAATCTTTGGACTGTGGGAGGAAACAGGAGTGCCCAGAGGAAATCCACACAAACATAGGAAGAACATACGAACTCCACACTAAGAGCACCTCAGGAATTGAACCCAGGGTCCCAGTGCTGTAAGGTAGCAATGCTAACAACTGTGCCGCCCCATTCTGACACTTAACACAGTGCAATGTTATTTTTAACATTGTGTGCTGCTCTAGCTTATTCTTGTGTACACCTAGAACTTGAGAACATTTTCTACAGCAGAGAAGTGGTGCCCTCTAGTGGCTAAATCTGCAAACTGTGGGACTGTATTATTAGGCAAATATTTTATCATTCCATCTACAGATAGGTCACAGTGGTTAGAATTATAACTTACAAGCAAGGAAATGTGTGAAGTAAATGTATACTGTAAAATAATAGAGAAAAGGAGTGATACATGAGTAAGGCAGAACATAAAAATGAAGCATGTAATTCTTTGAACAAAAATCACAAATTATGACTGAATAAAATGTAGATGTTTTTTCTAAATATACACCTCTTTACAGCAGTTGCAGCAAGTAAGATCAACTCAGGGCATTTGTTTGTTTACCTTCCTAACACCAGCATGCTTTTTGAGAGTTAACACTTCTGTCCCTCTTGTTGTCATCATCTTCTAAGTCAGCAATATAGAGTTCATCGTTGATGGAGGCCCTCAATCCATCAAGCTCTTTCTTGTGGGCCTGCAGAACTAGCTCTGTTAATCGTGTGAAGGACTGTTGGAAATAGAAAAAAAGATTGATCATCAAATGCAAGTCTCACATTTTAACACTAAAAAGGTTACCTGCGTCCTAGCTCCCATGTAGATAAAAAACATTCACTAGTGTTCCACACAATAAGGACACATGGAAAAGTCCTGCATAAGTCTGGGGTCAATATTCTTTGGGACTGTCTTTGAAATAGGTCCCACAGGATCTTCCCTGTGGAAGTCCTGGAGCTGCCTGCTGGAGACTTTTGATAATATAAGCCCAAGCATGTTTTTTGTAAAAGTTAGGTAATAACGACTGAGCAAGTATGCCGATGGATCTTTTAATGTTATAAATGTAAAAAAGTGCAGGAGAAACAACTTATTTAATACATTTGGGGACTTAGAATGGCAAGCTACATAGGAGCTCTCTGACCCCCTTCTGAGGAAGGTCCATGAACAAATGTCTACTCTTCACATTAAAAAGTTCAAGTCCCTGTTAGATCCATCCCGGTTTCTAAGGAGGAGGCATTAAGAGGACTAGAGAGCATGGGAGTCCCTCCGTATCACACAGGTTACCTCTCCCCCAGCAATGCTCTCTCTCATACAGCGGTGAGGAGGAGAGGGGTAAATCCTTTTCCATACAGTTTTCACTTGTGTCCTCTGGTTCTGAAGAAGTCCAGTGCAGTGACTATTAATACCTAAATAATTAATTATCTCATTTAGACAGTCAGAGTATTGACAATCCTTTGAGTCTGAGAATGTACCTGGTCCCTCTTCCATGGAGTGATTCCAGAGCAGCAACAGCTCTACTGTACAGTGGTGACCAAAAGTGTTGCAAATTTGACTTAATTACTAATAATACTGGAATCTAAATCATGGATATAAATTAAGAACAGCTGTGGTCCTAACACCAAGATCCTTGAGACACTGCACTAATTATATCACCCCAGTCTGAGCATCTGAACCTGTTCATCAGCGTATTCCTAATCCAACTGCATGCACTACCTTGGATGTCTACTGAATGATAATGAATTGGTGTTTTTTTAACTTATACCATATTCTATGACTGTTTGGCTATTTCTCATTCCTTGCTCAAAGAAATTTAACAAGTTCATGAAGCAAGACCATTTTAGCAGTCACCCAAAATCCCGTTGTCATACGGATTATCCTGTAGTGTCACAGAAATTATGGTTTCTGTAACCTTATAAATAACATTAATTAGATACATTTGTCAAAAATTACTTGGTTCAGTTTTGTTGCCCTCTTAGTGAATAGTTACATATTTCCTTTTCTTGTCTAAACGTTTCCCATTATTATCTCTGAGACACTGTTTTATCCACTTCTCTTGCTGTGGCAATACTGAAAAATGTTTACAATTGAGCCTCTGTTGCAATATTCATCTCTCCCTGCATTATAACCTTCAGATGTCATCACTGAACACACATTTCCCATTTTCATCTTCAAACCAATTTACTTCATTCTTCATTGTTGTTTTGCTATTCTAATGCCAAAAGAACCTGCCCTTGCAATTCATTCTATTTCTTTAATTGGAAAAAAAATATTGTTGTTTTTTTTGGAACAAGTAATAAGTTTATTCCATGCTGAAAAGAGAAGAAAGAAAACACAACATTGTGTTTTCTTTCTTCTCTTTTCAGCATGAAATAAACCTATTACTTGATCCTTTGCAGCCTGTGATGCAGCAACCCATCTGAACTACTGTACTTATGTTATTTTTTGCTCCTTTTATATTTAACCCATTTTATAAAGTGCTTTCTTTCTATTTTTTCATGAGTGGGTTATGACTGGACTACAGATTTTTTTGTTCATTTACTTATGGGATTAATCTGTTGTGTGCTTCAAGCTGAATCTCCTTAAAATGCTGCTACAGTATCTATTATTCACTGAATCACTAACTGTCCTTTTACTTACTTTCCTAAACATTTGTCTCATTTCTTCATAGTCTGCTTTCCATAAAATCTAATCTTGTATCTATTCTATAGTAGAGTACAATTTCAAACTCTACTTAAAGAATACACCATCACAGTTTTCGAATGGTTCTCTCACATCTGTTTTTCTAGGTCTACTTAGATCATTAGAAAAGACTAGATCAACGCAGGCATTCCCTCTATGAGGTGCTCTGAAAAACATAAGAAAGCAGTCACTAACTATCTAGCATTTTCATTTCAGTTGCTGATACTTTATATTTTCCTGATTTAAGGTGTACGAGGACAAATAATATCTCCCACGAAAATTATTTATATCTTTACATATATGTTTCTCATTTCATTATTAAAGAAAGCATTAGAATTAATATCTGAATTGGGTTGCCTGTGGAAGGCTCCTAAGACTATGCAATTTGAACATGTTTTGTAAGTCTGACCCATATAATTTCAGAGACACATGACCCATTTGGATTAGCTTCATTTGCCTGATTGCTCTTTGTGATGTACAGTGCTTCACCCCATCTATTAATTCTTTACAGTCTCTCCAGGATGCCAAGTACCCATTAACACTGTATATTTCATCATCACTCTCCATTTGCCATGTTTCAGTGATTCCAATTAAATGATAATAGCATGCTAATGCAGTAGCTTTATCTTCTGTATGTTGCTCCTAGTGCTCTTGGCATTTAGGTATGAGCACTTAATCACCTGGTCCTTTGATGTTTTCGCCTAAAGTCTCTTTTGACTCAATTCTCTATGTAATTCTCTGGCAGTTTTTCTTTGGATTCTCTCCCCTTCCATTAAAGTTGCTTCTTACAGAACTGCAGTTTGAGACTGTGTTTGATAAACAATTCTTTTATACACAGTATACTTAGAGTAAAAGGTTGCAAATGAACAATGTTTTTTCTTACTTCCTTAATATTATGATTAGTACAGGCACTTGTCTCAAAGAAGTCCATTCCATATGTCTTGGCAAGCTGTAAAAATAAGAATTAAAATAATTAATAATGTGGAACCTTTCATATGTGGTACTGAGTACTGGTAACTGATCCAAATTTCAGTATCATAATAGTTACTGAGTAACTGATCAAAATTGTATCATAACAGTTATTTTGAAATGGAAGAGAAGGACCATTCCTAATTTATTTTAACGATTTAAATTTAAATTAAAAGCCATATTCCTATTTCTTTTATGTAATACTTGCAGTGTGTCCTGTTCATCTCTCACTGGTTGTTGACCAAGCTGACCAGAACAAAATGATGAGGGGCCCAGAAAAGTTATTTCTTTCCTATAGGATCTTTGGGTTTTTGACAGAAATGTTATTGCTAAAATTCACATGTAGTAATAACTTAACAACTTTACTCCTGTGGGTACTCGGTTCCAATTTACACAGAATGTTCTTTTGTAACTTCACAATCTGACATGCATCCATAGATATTTTTATAAATATAAAATTTTGTATTGTTAATCAAGTGATGCAAAGTAATCTGCTTTTATGCCTTATAAGCACAGAACTGTATACCATGAGGTACTGGAAATTCAACAAATCAATAGTACTAATCACATCTTAAATGCCTCTTAGCATATACACAGTTAGTCATACCTGATAGTCCAAATGTATAAAAGATGTTCAAGTCGTAAAAGTGTTTTTGATTTTTGTTTCTTAATGAATAGAATCAAAGTATTATATCTGACCTTGTTTCCCTGCTCTGTGGCCACCTGTCTTTTGTCTTCCTCATCAGATTTGTTTCCAACAAGGATCTTCTGAACTTTCTCTGGAGCATACTGAAATAAGACAGGGTTAAGCAAAAGTGTCTCATTTACCATGCAAATAATCTAAAACACTGACCCTTTTAGATCTGAGCGAAACCACCACCTGTGGTACCTGTTGTTATTCATGATGATAAACAAAAAAACGTATTATAACTACACTAGATACCTGTTGTGGCTACAGGAAGGGTACTCTTGCTGACAGCTGGTTAATTGATACTAGTTTTCACTCATTTGATTTCTCATTAATATAGAGTAGCTCTTGTAGATGTGTGTTTAAATCAACTCTCAGTCCCATTAAAAGACAGGACATGTGAACTCCTCAGTCTGAAAGCGATCTCTGCTCAGTTCAATTTGTAGTATAATTTATTTTGTAAAGAGGAAATTAATAAAATTGTATGTTTGCTAAAGAGACAAATATTTTGGTTGATAAAGGAAACTGACGGTGTTAAACACATATGAAAAAAAATTAGAAGTGGGAGCCTTGTCACACTCATTGTTGGGTAGAAGAACAAGCACTATTTTTAATCAATAATGAAAACTTTGGCTCAACTTGTATAGTTGTGGTGTACACTAGTCTACACTCCCTCTCCAAATGAGTTTTACCTTGTATGAAGTGGTTAGAGGGCAGCTGAGGTTAAGTATAGTGCTCAAGGGGGCTAATTTAGCCTGAAGAGCTACTGTATATACTGTACAGTAACAGCAATCTCTATTGGCACTGATTGGTAAATGGAGAAAAATAAGAAACACAATAACATGATTGTGCACTCCTTTTAGCATGCTAGGGCTTCAGTTAAGGATAATTCAATTTAATCGCAAATTATTTCTGGATAATGGTGCACCTGAAGATCATAAAAACTTTCATTACACCATTGTTTGTTGTTCTGTTTTAAAAAATAATATGTGTGGATTGATATGTGAATGAAACTCAATAATAAAAAAAATGTGTTGCATATAGCTATATTGTACAGTATTCCATACACTAACTGCACTGGAATACACTGTATTAATGTGAAGAAAATATGTTGTAAATTTCAGGAAAGGTAGGACAGACAGATAGGTGGACACACATACTGTACAGACAGACAGGCATCAGCAGCACAGCAGAAATTAAGACCTCACCTCATCAACATCGCTAACCCACTTCATGATATGTTGAAAGGAGCGCTCGCTTGTGATATCGTACACTAAAAAGATCCCCTGGCAAATCAAGAATAAAATCATTAACTGAACAATCATGCTGCTCTAGACACAATAGAAGCATTTCAGTATCAGCGTCTTACTGATGACATTTAGAGTAGAGTTGACAAGAAACCAAGACGTGGTCCTCACTGACTGCAATTCGACAGCAATGGCTTAAATTGAACCTTTTCCAATTAGGGTGCTCGAGGATCACAGTCCAGCAGGTCTGATAGGGCTCTAGCAAACTGTAAGCTCAATCAGGCAATTGCGATTTCGATTTCAAAGGTGACAGAACCCTACTGGAACTAAAAAGGTCAGAGCAGCAGTTCTCAGTGTATGGCGCCACGGGAAAGAAAACTGTTGTGTTATCAAATATTTTTAAGGTGAAACGTGTCATCACTCCAACCTGACTTCCAATTTTGAAGTAAGAAAATCAGCACCAGCCCTCTTATGAACGTATTTATGTATATATGTATATAATACATTCATGAACATGCACTGATGCAACGGTTTCTGCAACAGTGTTTTGCACTGTTTTGCAAATGTAGTTGTGAAGGTACCGAAAACGAATTTCTAATAATTAAAGTTAAATGACCAAAGTTTATTAAGCGCAGTTATCTCTTATGTTCGATTTCCGTTCTATCATAACAGTGTCAAATAATTACTATGCGGTGGTCCTCGGAAAGCTTGCAAACTAACAAATTAACGTGCGGCCTGCAGACTCAGAAAGGTTGGGATCTGATCTAGATTCCATCTCATTTTAATTAGTGCCATGGCATCTATGTTAAACGGATCATAGCAACCACGGTGCCAAGCAAGAAAGGTTTCATTGTATATTTGATGTCCTACGTGTTTCAAACAAATCACCTAGCTTCCATTAATGACAAGCTGTTTTTTAAAAAGTTATTTTGGGTCTCGGTCACTGCTGCAAAAGGAAAGACGCATGTGACTTCGCTCTGCATGTCAAAATTGTTTGCTGTTCGCTGCCTCACAGAGCTGGCAAATGCAACAGTATCCTTGGTTTCCTGGACTCTAAGAATGTTAGATATACATTTATATGTAATTGCCTTATTATTTCAATATTTCTTCATTATTACACATAATGTTCATTAATCAGAATTGAACAGCAACGTTGAATGTAAAAGATAAAAAGCAGCAATTAATTAAGGCTATAAAGTATTACATGTTTTGACGTTCGCACAAATGCTAGCAAGAACATAAAACAGCGCAGCAAAAGGTCTACCTATAAGTTTACATCATGTAACGATCTTTATTTTCTTTCCTCAAAACTTGGCATTCAGATTTTTTTCTGCCAATTATAATGCTTATGGCCCTAATTATAAAAAAGACTTGTAGTTCCACCTTCGTGGTCATTACTCGCATGACCCCAATGAAATCACCTGTGCTCTCCTATAATACTGTTTGGTGATAGTCTGGTAGCGCTCTTGTCCAGCAGTGTCCCTGTAAGAGACACAAAGCTTAATGTCAGGCTGATTCAATAACAAGCCATACAACAGCCTAGTGTGTGAGGTTTTTGGGGTGTTGGCCTTGGTTTTGCTGCTACCCAAGAAGGAGATTCCCCAGGACAGCACACACCATTAAATGTCACAGAGTGATTATTCAGCCCTAAGGAAATATATTGTACAATATTTTATTACCCATATTGCTGTTGACTAATAAAGATGGAAGATACAAAAAAGAGTTAAGTAAGAAAACACAAGAGATTTTAATAAAAGATGAGTTTTTCAAAAAAATACTGAGTAAGATTGTGCTCCAAAGAAGATGCTTTAAATAATTATTAAATAATTAACAGTTAATACAAACAAAAAACAGCCACTAAATGATATTAAAGGGTACAATTTAGGTTTTAATCTAATTTTTAAACATTTAAGACAACCATGAAAGAGGCATGTCTAGACAATAGGCAAAGCAACAAAGTTTTTTTCTGAACACTTTAGAATATTTCCATAGAAAACAAGAGCAGAGCACAGATGCTGTATTTGTCTGGGTAACAAGCTGCAGATCCACAGCGTGGGTGATTATGCTATAATGCAGCATAATTAAAAACAGAAAGCTGATCCTTGTTATCATAGAATAGTTTTCATGTCTGTGTTTAATTTATCATCAGAAATTAGGTAGAAAACAGATGATCAGAAGATATACAAAAGGATATGCAAAATGAAAATTAAACACTAGATACATGAGATCAACAATTGCTCAAATACGTATTATTAATTCTTCTTGAGTTTTATTGATTTGTTTTGATTCAAATATTTATTTAATTGATAATCCATATATTTATTTATTCCATATCTGATTACTTACCATATTTGTATTCTTACTTTGATTCCATCTACTTCTAATGTCTTCATTTTGAAATCAACCCCTATAACAGAGGATGAAAAAAGATCATTTTTAACCACCACCGCAAGAGTTGGTCTGAACAGAGGCATGGACATTCTTAAAAAATGGAGGAGTTCATTGTGGTACTTCTCTTTTTCAAATAATCAACAAGTAACCATGCAAGACAGTGATGCTGCTAGTTGCTGTTTTTGATTTCCAAGGACCATGAAAAACTGGCATGGAAACCAGTTTGTGTAGACTGTTCCATACACCCGCAGCTTTTTGCATAACAAAACTGCTTTCCTAAAGTCAACCCCGAATCAGCCTGTACCTGATTTCCCTTTCTGCAATCTGGCCCAGTGTGTGAGGTGAAATTAAAGTAAACATTTGTTTGACTTTGGTCAGTGCAATTCAGTAATTTAAATACTTTAGTCAAAACTTTCCAAAGTTCCCTTTTAAAGATAATCAAATTTTTAACCAGTCCGTACATGATATGACTTGCAGCCCTAAGACTGCTTGTTTGTTCTCTTCCCTGGATTATCTGGAATTTTATCACCATTATCTGTTTTTTAATGTAAATGAATTTTCTGTCTTTGACTTTGATGTTTGCACCACATTATAAAACTTAGTTCAGAGAAACAATTATTTTTTCCTATTGGGATAGATTTCATCATATACTGTATATCCAGAAATGACTTAGATTACTTGATTAAAGGGTAGAAGAAATGTCCGTTAATGCTAAGTTCTCCCTCTTCACTAAAGGAGTTTCCATGGAGACAATTCCCCTCTGTGAATCATGAATAGATGTAGAATGAAAAAACATTAAAATATATCCCTTGCCCAGGCATGACTTCACTTTCAAATCTTAACATTTTCACTGCCACACTTTTAGCTTATGCCAGTGATATTTTAAATCAGACTGGGTAGATTTTCAAATTCTTCCCTATTGCATGTGTTATTTCTGTAGGTTAGCTGCCAGGAAATATAGCTGAAGTGTTAGTGGAATGGATTTAACTGGGTATTGTTTATTAAGTATTTAATATACCATGAGATTTGTGAGAGCATAGCCCTGATTTTATTCTTTTAACTGCAGGTACTTAACCACAACACACAGTGTCATTGCATGTCACTAAAATACAACAGAGTACTGCATCATTCCAGCTGCGGGGGACTTGAATCAGTCTAAAAAGTGAAATGTTTGATAACTAATAGAGCTTAGTTTAATACGATTTTAATGTGTTGGTACTTGTTGGGAGTTCAAGCACACTTTTTGTGATGACATTTTAGGTGGTAATTAAGAAAATACAAAGCAAACATTCTAAAATAATTCTGTCAGAATTACATGTCAGAGCCTCCATCATTCCATGTTTTCTTTGTGGCTGTTGAACTCAATTACAAGGACTTTGGTTTGACAATAAAGCTTTGCAAATATGATCTGATGAAAAAGCTCTATGGTCAGTTGGTTTCTAGCCAGAGGCTTTGAATAATAATGAGAAGATTAATACTCTTTTTTAATAGCTCTCGGTGCAAAGGTTGCTTGGATACATCCTGAAATTAGACTTATAGAGCACACTAAAACTGTTCGCAGCATGTAGTTGCTACATCAAAGTCAACATGTATATAAAACAAAATTTACATTTAGTCAATTTAATTAGGAGTCTGTCAAAAGCTATCTATTTTACAATACAATGGTATTTTTGCAAGCCTCTTGATATAGTCTCTTGCAAATTGATTAAAGAAATCTTTTTTTAAATATGCTTTTAATATTTTTTTTTAATTATATCCTACCAATGTCCACAGAAATAGCTCTTTTATTTAAAAATTAAAAGTATACAGTAGGAAAATAAGCCATTTTTAAAAATAGTCCATCTGTTCACTCTGGCTCAAATCTGTATTGGCGTGGTCAGCTAGGCAAAATAACTTTTATTTCTACTAAACTTGTAAAGCATTATTTAAAAAAAATGAGTTTCATTATTTAATATGATCAGTTGTATATCTTTGTCTTGCCAAACAGAACAAGAAACTGCAGAATGGGCCTTTATCTTTGACAGTGTATTATAAACCCAATTATAAACCCATTTTTGTTCCTTAATATGTATACAACAGATGACTCAGCCCAAGAAAACACAAGGTTTGAACTTGGGACTCAAAATTAAATGTCAAAAAAAGATTGTAGCTTGAGGTTCTGACTGAACAAAAAATTGATTTTTAAAGGATTTCCTGTCGTACTTCAGTATTTTGCCCTATGGCACACATTTCTCAGCCACTCAAACTGAAGTTTAAAGTACCGATTCATTTTCTCATTTCAAAGACATACAACACAACTTGTTTTTTTTTCTGTTTAAATGCATGAAATAATACATTTAAATAAGGTAATCAGATTAAGGATATCTGCACTTATTGAAATATTTCAGATCTTGCCAGGTAGTCCAACAAAATGTCATATAATCACCTGTGCCAACCAGGACAACTATTTCAATTAATTTCCTGACACAGACACGCTGGAAAAGGTAAGAAAGCTCAATGAAACTTTTATGATTTGCTTCTTTTGTTCTCCTAATGCTCAGCGAATGAAGGCTTGAGCATATCTTTGAACACAATGAACTGCTCCTTCCAGATAACATGATCCTTTTCTAAATAAAATTATCAAATGGCTTCCCAGAATAGCATCATTTTTTCTGCATAACATTTGAGTGTGAAAGAGTCATTGTCAATAAAAGCACAAGTTCACCTTGATAAGGAAGTAATGCATCTTCATAGATGAGTTTTCAATAGAGTTTTACTAAGAGCACAGCGAGGTTCTAATGAGCAATTAAAAAGGTGAATAACAAGAGGGGGGATTTTGTGGAATTAAATAATAATATATAACAAATTTATTTAATTCCTGAAATATATTCCTGAATAGGTGCTGAATATAAAATAAGCGAATATTTAATAAATGAACCAGAACAATCTTTCAGAAGATACTTCACACATGGACAGAGAATAATTCTAATTATTTCCTGCTATAAACATTTTCAACAAATTTAAAAATATAAATATATGGCACATTTTACTGAACCAAGGCCCAGACAAAATGTTCCTTGCAGTTGACATTCAGAAAGTAGTATTATCTCATCTTGACACTACATCAGCACATGCTGCGTTAGAGTCTTCATTCCTTGATTAAGAATTCTACACAGGTTCTCAACATTCCTGAAACAGTTCCTAACTGGCCTCCAGTCTCAAAAATAGTGTAAAGTCCTGGGTTCGGTCTAGGGTTTTAGGCATTCATGTGTAGGAAAACAGAGTTTTCACTGGTCGATTATCAAACTTTATTGATAAAAAAAACAACAAAACTAGCAGACCAAGCAAGAAGAAGAAAAAGAATAACGGACACAGCGTGAGCCTGCATTCTCTCCTCAACCGTCCACACCACACTTTCCCTGGGTCTGAGATTAAATAAAACTTCACTCACACCAAACTAAATACCACACACAAAACACTGAACACGTTAACCCAAATATGTCTCACAATAGCAATGAGTCAGTGCCAATGAAAGGGTGAAATAAAAAAAGATTGTTTTGTTCTAATGATTCTTTCCGACACCTTAAAACCCTGGTATTTTCCCATCCAAAGGCCAGGACTCTACTCTCAGTATGTCCACTGCACAAGGAAATGTCAACAGCGCCCCCCTGCAGTGTTCTGACAGACACACTGGTGTGTCAACACAATCCACCAGGGATGGAGCTGCTTGTCTAACATTCATTTAAGCAACTGTGGAGTTTTACTGGACATTTCTAAACACCAATAAAAAATGTATTTCAATATTTGTCTATGTAAAAGAGTCTCCTATTCATCTTCCACTTTATTGAGGTCAGATTACACGAAGACTTTCACATGAGCCTGCACATTATTTACATCCTACATTGGAAAAGGCACGATGAGAACCCAAACCAATCATAAAATGAGAACAGGAAGCTTTTTGGCTCTAGCTTACTAACATTTAATATCTTGAGTTAAGAATGTCAAGGAGGTTGTCCCCTTTTTTTGTTGTCATTTACCTACTGTCGTCAAACTGAGATCACCTTTAAGACAGTGACAAAGATATCTGTAGGACAATATTTCTTCCAGGATGTTATCTGTATGACCCCTCTATGCCAAGAGTCTCAGCCGATCGATAACATACCAACAATGCTTATCTCTAAAGAAATCTGTAGGTTTTTTAGCCGAGTATAAATTGTGCTGGTTATACATTGAAGAAAAACATGCAGCCTGCATAACCTGTGTATCATGAGCATTAATAAAAAACAAATTATTGTAGAACAAAATCCCAAAAGAGCAATGATATCAGAAATGAAATTCATAACTTATTGCTTTGTGTACAAAATATATTTTTTAATCTTGTTCTATAAATCCAATAAAAAATAAACATTTTTGGGATTTAGCTTCTTGCATAACTATCTCTATATGATATGTACACAGGTACCTGAACAAATATTGAGTGTTTCTGTCATACAACTAATTAGAAAATTATTTAGATGTAAGCAGTTTTTTTTTTCTCAAACATCAAGTTTCCATTAATATGTCAAAATAACGATTAACTGAACTGACCTAAAAACACTCTTTTTGGACTTAATTTTCCAGGAACTAAAATAGGATCACAAAGCATTGCTTCCAGAAGATTTGCTATAAACATATTCCAAAAATATACTGATGGAAAAAAGAAACATACAGTAACATCTCCTCCACACTCTGCCCATCCTGTCTGCGTGGAACAGGCTGAAGAGTGACTCGTCCGTGAAGAGGACCTGATGCCAGTGCTGACGAGTCCATCGCAGCCCCAGTCTGGCCCAAGCCAGTCTGGTGTGACATCTAGGAGGTGTGTGCAGAGGCCCTCTGAGAGTTTGCCTTGCTCTAAGACCAGCAGAATGGAGCCTCACTGTCCTGTCACTGATGCGGGCATTGTGTCTGCCTGCAGTTTCAGCAGCAGTACGGGTGGCAGATCTGAAACAATCTCTCAGATGGACCAGTCTAATGTGTCAGTCCTGCTCTGGTGTGGTC